TAGATAGATAGAGAGAGAGAGAGAGAGAGAGAGAGAGAGAGAGAGAGAGAGAGAGAGAGAGAGAGAGATCTATCTCTATATATCTATCTCTTTCTCTCTCTCTTCTTCCAAAACGTCCATTTGTCCTTCTGGTGTGTGTGAACAACCTAGTGTCTAAACCAGGCATAGGACTATTCCTATATTGAAGAAACCCGTATCGATTATCGATTTTTTCTCCTTCACCCCCCCCTTTCCCCTTTGGGTAAGACAATACCTAAATTGCAGAAATATAAACTAATCACTAGGACCCATAATTATGTAATGACATATTTTCCAAACGTAACTCTGTCTAGTCGAATCAACGATATCTTCACGTCTTTTATTGGTTAGTGCCAAAAAAGTTGAAATTTTAGTCCAGATTTTCCGCGAAAGTACATATATTTACATATTTTACCGAAAATAATATATTTATTGCATGTTGCTGAATTTTTCCACTTTTTCCTGAATGTTTTATTTAATTCGTTTTCCTGTATGTTAAAAACATACGGAACTTCGCAGACAAACAATTCAGGTTTGTCAAACTGCAGTCTCCTCTCTAAAAAGCCGAAATTGAATCGCGTTGGAGTAAGTCCGTCCGTAAATACTGACGTTATTGCAAATAAAAGGACATATAGACCAAGAAAATGATACGTTTAGTATGCGATATCGCTCACCTACGTTGCGTCTTTCAGGGATTCCCTTGACCTCATACCGTTCACCACAAACTATTCTCCCAACTCAGAAAGCGCCGTTGTAAGTTTTCTTTCCCCGATTGTCACACGTGAACCTCCGCCGTTGTTTGTAAATTATCACTTTGGGCCGGTAACCTAAAGTAAAATCACGATGTGGCACTGAAGCTTTTAGATTAAACCGTATGGTGCAGTGGTAACGCTGAGTGAGAATTGAGTAAAGGAAAGGACGGCTGTTTCCGTAAATTTTTATTTTCGAAATTTATGTTGGCAATTTGAAAACGCTTCGTGTTTACTGAGAAAGGTTTCCATTCGTACCCTAATATTTTTGGAAAAAACAACAAAATGGAAATAGGCCGGTAATTTTGAATTTCATTTTTGAAAAGTGACTTTATCTCAGCTGTTTTGAAAATATCTGGAAAAGTTCCAGTGCATAAAGATGCATTAAATAGGTGAGTTGACGGGTTATGATAACACGCGGAGACGTCTTTTATACCATCCGGAAATTCGTCTAAACCGGCCGAATAAAAGCCGTGCTTTGAATACCAACTCCATTGCCCAAGTTGCTATGATCTTGCAGAATCGCGATATCTACTTAAAATTAACTTGATTATGTTACGTTAATTAAAGACTAATTATTAGTTCTTTTCTGTAATGGGATTGAAATTAGTTTGTCATTGAAAGTTTATTATTTTTACTCTCTTGCTCTTACAAAGGTTCTTTTTAAATTATTTTTCACAAAGTGATACTAGATATTAAGT